CCTCGGAACTTGTGTAAGTGTTTAGGATGCTAATTTTGGAGCAAGAAGTCTGCGCTCCAATTCATTTAAATCAAGGAAAGGAAGTTTTGCTGGGATTGCATCTCATTACTTTCCTCAGATATAAAAGTAGAGAATCAACAGATAAATATATAAATAAAATATTGAACACATCTTTATTTTGAGATGTTTATCTTCTTTTGTAGTGTCACGTCATGAACTGAAAATGTTGTATCTTCGGTCCTACATAATTCGCTGATTTAGCAGGTAAAATGTTCTTTCTTCATAGAAGAAAAAATTTCCACTAAGTGACATCCTTCCAGTCCTTTTTACTCACTTTCAATATAATCACGGGAATAATCTGTCACAAGTCTTGATTGGAAGAAACACAGTTTACGGGTACGACTATGCTGCGATAGTAGCATTGTTGATTTCAGGAAAGACTTTCCTGAAACCACAGAGTGGTAGACAACAAAAGGATTAGGCTAAAATGTTCTGCTCAAACTCCTCGTTAATCCCATACTTAATCATATTTTTAAGGCCCCGGTTGTTCGAAAGCCGATTAAATTATCCCTCGATTAGAGGTTAATCGACGATTAAATTTCTTATCCCAAGGATAGCTAATCTAGGTTTAAAATAACGTTCCTGAAAGCAGATTTATCCCTTGATTAACTATCCCACGATTAAGCTGAGGTTAAACCAGTCAAACCGGTTATTAAGAGCTACGCGGCTACGCGCGAAAAAAAATTGGAGGGAAAAAATGGCGGAAAGGGAGAGTGCACATGGAAGTGGAAACCAAACGAAAGACAAGAGAAAAGAAAGCATAATTTTTCAGTTTATGAGATTGAAGTCATCACCGATAATGTCAAAAAAAATCTCGATTTAATCCAATCCAAATTAACGAATGCTGTGACCAACAAAAAGAAACAAATGCTATGGGAAGAAATAACCCAAGCGGTAAATGCGGTCGGAACAGCCAAGCGAACAGTCACGTAGGTAAAAGACAAGTGGAAAAATCTCCATAGCATCGCCAAGAAAGAATTTGCAGAATTCAAGAGGGAGACCAAGATAACTGGAGGTGGTCGGCCTCCAAAGTCGCCGAGTGTTGCCAGCAAAGAGATTATTGAGGTGCTTGAGGACACGCCGGCGTTCAGCGGTTTGATTGGCTTTGAGACAGGTTTGTAAACAATTCTCTATTGTTTCTAGGTTACCAAAAATTTTAAAATTGTAGACAGTCAACCGGCCATGTTGTTTCGGCGGGGTTTTCAGCTTATCAATCGCTTTCCCGTCTTTGAGCATACGAAATGTTCGGACACAAGGGAGGAAAAGATAAGTTTGCATGTTTTTTTTTTCCAATATCCGTAACTGTATTAATCAAGTTTTACCTTGTTTAGTTTATTATCCCGTCACATTTCATGAGTGTACTTCACTAAGCGAAGGCTGCTACGGAGAACTCCAAACCGGTTTGCTGCTTTTGCGGCATTTATAGGGTTGCATTCGATTAAACCCTGTTTAAGCTGAATATAGACGAACGCTCATGACGGACTGTCAGTAATTTAGCAGACATATATATAAATTTCAGCTTCACTTGATTAATTCATATGTCGAAGATTGCATAGCTCCGTCATTTTGGAAAGCGACTGAGTGAGACAAAAACCTTTGATTTCGAAGAATGTCTTGGATACGGTTTATAATTTGGTTAAAATTCGTTTTGCCAAAGACAAAGTGCTCCTATTGTTTCTTTATTTATCTTGTACTAAGGAGTGTTCTTCAAATATTTACGATCGGCTATTTACATGATTGTATAAATAACTAATTTTTATTATTTCGTTTTGACGCAACTTTGTTTATGTTTATGATTGACGAAATAATTTGTTGTTGTAACTGTTATCATGTCCTATTTTTTCGATCACTAAACTGTGGTACGGTTCTCGTTGTCGATTCGCTCTGATTCCCCTTTATCTGTCTAAAATAAGCTTAACTTTTGGTACATGATTTACAGATTTTATAAGCATTTTCGTGAATGATTTCACTGAGTTAAGTCTACCAGTACACAAATTCATTTTATGAAATTGAATAATTTATTTTTTACATGTTTAAGCCTCAGATTCCTTGCGGGAGAGATGCTCCTTCTGTTATTTCATTTATGTCATGCATAAAACTAAATTCATACTTTTTGAGCCTGAGTGAAACCTTAATTGTGCTTGAAATATTTTGTAGGAGAAGATGCTCATTTACCAGCAGAGTCTGCGAAGACTGTGTTTGAAGAAGACTGTCTGAGCCTTAATGAAGCCATGCATTCTTCACCAGCCAAGGCTGATGAACAGAGGAAGCCTTCAAAAAGGATAAGTAATGGCGATGTTTTAAAAATGCAGTACGAATGCCTGTGTACTCAAAAGGAAATGTTGAATCTTAAAAAACAAAAATTGAAAATGCAAATTCATCTTCTGGAGCAACAGGTCAATGCAAACCTTCGCAACTGCATTAAATGCAAATTTTGTAGTTCCCAACACCGATTCATTTTAAAGGAGGAATAGTGTAATAAGTCCTCTTAAAGAAATATTTTGGGCAAATGTTGTTCTCGTATTATTTATTATAAAACATACACAATGTATTTTGTTCTCAAAATGTATTTTGACATAATAAAACAGATTCTTGAGTCAAACTTATTTTAATGTGTTTTTTCAACCAGAAACCCCTTTTAAATGCATATATGAATTTTTTATATTTCATGGGAAGTTAAATTAAGAGCAAAACTGATTGCATAAGGCAGAAATACAAAAATTAAAAATTGTCAGAAAAAGGTGTTGCAGATGTGGTCTCGGATGACCTTGCCATCCTCTGGACCCCGGAAGCAAACAAGATTAGGTTGATCATCAGCCTCAGCATAGCCATCCAAAGGTTCCTTTCTTAGAATTGCAATGTTATGTAAAACTGCACATGCTCTGATAATGATGGACACTTTTTCTGGCTTTATTCTGATCTCAGAATGAAGCAGATGGAACCTTCGCTTCCACCAGCCAAAGGCTTGTTCTATTGCCACTCTTGTTCTTTTGTGGGCACTGTTGAACTCTTGCTGCTTGTCAGTGACTGGATTCAGGTAAGGGGTCATCAGGTACGGCTTGCAAGGGTAACCACTGTCACCCAACAGTAAACCATCTTCCAGGGACTGGTGTTGGATATTAAGTTGTTGGCCAATTCTTGAATCCCTAAATATGAAGCTGTCATGGGTGCTGCCTGGCCATCATGCTACAATGTTGGTAAACATGCCTAAAATAAAACAGCAAAGAAGTTATGTGACCAGTTCTTACCTATGATGTAGAAAATCTCATCTCAGTTTATAACAATAATGTACTGCAAAGAGAAACAACAATAATTGTGTCTATGATGAACTGGGGTAACTGATAAAAATATTTAGTTTACTTGGAAAACCTTTTCATTGTTTAATTTGTTTTTTGAAATTTGGGAGACTGCATCATTTTGAAATCCCTGCTGATTGTTGCACTCTGTTGGTCATTAGCTGAGCAATATATTCACAAATATCCCACATTATTTCTTGCTTTTTTCCCTTGTTTTTTACTTTTTTATACTGTCACTAAAATATTGTTGTGATACATATCAAACTCACGGGGTACAAATAGTCTTAACATGAATATAGTGACCACGCCCACTTCAACGCCCCACTCAAATCGAGTGTAATTTTCGAACATTTTACCATCGTGCGGATTCTCTACGGAAAAAGCACTCAATGTACCTCTGAAATATTAAACTATAATATTGTGGCTTTCTATTTCGCTAATTTTCTAACTTGAAGGTAAAGTTTTTCCCTCGTCATTTTAACCTTTTCTCCGAGCGGTTGCGTGAAATTAACAAGGCGTTTTTGTTCAAAACACAACCGAGCGAAGCGTCTCGAGCGATATCTTTTTTACGCAAGCGCAATTTAAAAATGTACCGCCTGAATCAAAAAGAGGAACAAATTTCCTTTGTTTTGATATGTAAAGTGTCGAACAAAAAGCAGATTTACCCTCGTCAAATGGCGTTCCAAAACAGCTGTATCTTCCTCCTTTTGATTTTTTCCTATTTGGTGAGCGTGAAAGCAGTAGGAGAGGGATCGAGAAACTCAGAAAGCACTTCGGGTATTAATCTGCCATTGTTTACTTACGAGATAAACAAGTAAGATTTGTGAAGTTCATCGCAGTATGAAGTCTAACTAAATGCCTTTTTTTAAGCTTGTTCGCTGGATTTTTCGTAAACTTCCCTGATTAATTTTTTCGTTTCAGCTTACTAATCTATACTATTTCAAAGCAAAGAAGTTTTCAGAGAAAACCATGAGTCGGTCGTTTCAATGATTGTAAACAAAGTGTTTGAGCAATCAGGTATACGAGGTATAATAATCAATAGCCATATATCAGAAGTCTTCAGAAAGAAAATATTCTGTTTTCAGAAAGCTGTCAAGAAAGCTAGTAATCGTGGCAATTCAATGCACTTCTTAGCAATTTGGAAACGGGCCCTCGGTATCGATTTAAGGTGTATTACAACGAGGTTGATGTACATCAGCTTAAAGATGAGAACAGCCAGTTGAGGGGAGAAAAAATAAAATTAGAAGAATCGTTGGTACAGGAGAAGGTAAAGCGATTGCGAGTGGATAAAAAAGCCCGAGAAGCTCTCGAGAAAGCTGAGAAGAAAGGGGCCTTCTACAATACAAAATTTATTCAGTTGGCTAAAAAAGTGATTACAAATGGGAAAAAAGGTAGAGGCCCAGCTAAGAAGAAGTTTAATGACTATTCTAAGCACCATCAAAAGAGAATTAAAACCAACTGAAGGAAGAGTGCCAAACTACACTCTCCTTTCTTGGGCTGTACAATTTTGTTGCAACCAAAATTGAAGTCCTCAAGACTGAGACTTATCAATATGAAACTTTCAATCTTGTTGGAGAGGGAGAGCTGCCATTTACAGAGTCTGACCCAAAGGCCCTTAATAATGATGAAATTGATAACATAAATATGTGGCTTTACCTCAAAGATAAATTCATGATTTCAAATGAGGCCTGGCATGAAATTGCCATTAAGGCTAATGATCTCCCCAATATATATTCCATCAAGAAGCGAATTAATGAGCTAAACAGTGAATGGAACTTGAAACCAACACCAGGAGATGCTGAAGGTGTTCAGTTAGGATTTGCAGAAAGCTTGCAAAAGCACATTGTTAGGCTTCAGAAGAATGGAGAAATCAATGATGGAGAAACTATTAAGATCAAGCTTAGTGGTGATGGTACAAATATTGGAAAGGGGCTTACAGTTGTCAACTTCACTTTCACTATTCTCCATGAAAAGGATGTGGCAATGGGTGAGAAGGGAAATTATATACTTGCTGTTATAAAAACTACAGAGACATGATAATCTGAGAGACAGCCTAGTAGACCTTCGAATGGAAATGTCAAACTTAAAGGAGATAAGTGCAAATAATTGCACCTATAAAATTGAATACTTTTTACGTGGATATTTGAAATTTTTAGCACTGTAATGTGGTTTAGGCAGGGCAAATGAGGATTATGCTTGTGTGTGGTGCAAGTGTCCCAGGGAGCAACGGTGGGACACAAGCAAAACATGGTCAATTAATAGCAAGCAAGTTAAAATAGCAAGGTTTTCCACTGGAAGGAAATTAAACTGTAAGGCACAACCATTATTTGATTTTATACCTATGGACCTTGTCATCATAGATACATTACATTTTTTTCTGAGGATTTCAGATGTTTTGATTAACTTGTTCATAAGAGAGCTGAGAAGAAGTGATGCTATTGAGAAAAAAAAAAAAACCTCTGATGGATTCCCAAGAGATAAATATAAACACATGGCATGTTATGAAGAATTTATCAAAAGTATGGGAATCACTTTTAATTTTAGAATCAACAAAGAGAGCAAAAAGCTGGAATATAGAGATCTTACCGAACCAGAAAAGTTGAAACTCTTTCAGAATATAAACATTCCGACCTATGCTTGTCCCTCTTTGCAGTCAAAACAAAGACATACAAGTGATCTGGGCTAAATTTATGGACATAATTGGTGATTTGAGGCTAGATTTTACATCTGAAGAGGGTATTCTTGAACTGCAAAGAAATATCAAATCATGGTTTGAGCACTTTCTCAAAGTTTACCAAGCAAAAGATGTCACTCCCTACATGTATGCACTATGTTATCATGTTCCTGAGTTCCTGTCACTTTATCAGAACATAGCATATTACACACAGCAAGGCTTGGAAAAATATAATAATAGAGCTTCTAAAGATTTCTTCAGATCCACAATTCACAAAGGGGTTGATGCCCTCAAACAACTGTTTCTGAAGAAAAACAGGATTCAGTTCCTGGAGGCAGCAGGTTATGAAAGAGTTTAAGAACACCTTCAACGATGAGCTTGTATTCAATGATTGGACTTCTTTGTCCCAGCCAATACTTAATAGTTCCTGGAATTACATAGGCAAAATCTTCACCTACATTTAAAATTCTTTCATCCCACTTCAGCCCCAGATATGAATCAAGCACCCTATTTGACTCCAATTGGTAAACCATCTTCCCTCTTTGAAGAACGCCAGGCAAAACACTCCCAAGACTTTCCATGAAAACATCTTGGTCAACATTAAGGCCTATGTTTATATCAGGGTCCTCTCGCTGTCCAAACCAAAGCTTTTTCTTTATTTCACGAGCAAGTTGGCCATGGAACGATTCTTTTCTATCCTCTAGAGAATTTTCCGAGGGAATGAACAGCTTTTCGCTGCGAACAAATGGAAAATATCCAGATCCTCTATCGGCCCTGAAGGGTGTCCATTCATCGAAGCATGTGCTATGGCCATGCAACGTAATGAATTTTCAACCTCTCTTGTTGATTTTGTCAACCTCCCTGATCTCAATATCATACAGTTTTGCATCTTTCTATCGTGGATTCGCCTCTCTAACGGGGGTTTATGTGAAGTATTTGTTGCAAAATCACTTTGCTTTTTTAATTTCCCTATTTAGCCTGTCCGCCATTTTGAAAATTCGGCAACGGAGAGCATGTGCATGGCCGCGTACACCTGGAACCGAGAAAAACAAATGTTCATCGCGCTGGGGAAAGAGTTTGATATGTTTTGGTAAATTTTCCGTATGTGCGTTTGCAAACCAAACTCCACCTATACCATTTGACTCAAAAAATATTTTAAAAAAATTTTATCACTACTCCCATTTCCTGAATATGTGAAACTGCAATCTAGTAACTCCCAACAATGCAACCCCATAGCAGCTGGTGTGCTAGAAATCTCAATCTAAAACCTTCTATAAGGGGAGTACCCCTCCCTGCCAAAGGTTATTTTGCAATTTTTATAGAATACTAATTGTGACATTTGAGTATTTTACCTACCTTTGTGATTGCAAATTGCTTGCACATTTATGGAATGGAACCCTTTACGATTGACAAAATCGTTTTCGTTTTCATGTGGTGCCTGAATCTTGATGTGAGTGCCGTCAACACAGCCAATCACCCCAGGAAATCCCCCCTTGGTAAAAAAACCGCGTTTGTTTTGAAGTATCTCCTCTTCGGTCGATGGCCACTTGATGAAGTTTCTTTGTTTCTGTGCAAGGGCAAGCGAAACTTGACCGATTATACGGGACACGGATGACTTTGACAGGCCCAGAGTATCTCCAATAACTTGAAGAAAGCTTCCGGAGGCGAAAAAGCGCAACGCTACAAGGACTTGCACAGTTGTCGACAAAGCATGGTTTCGAGATGTATCTCTTTCAAGATCGTCGCGAAGGAGCTCAGATAAAAATTCTATGGACTCTCGGCCAAAACGATATCGACTTCTCAATTCTTCATCAGTAAAATTGGACAGGGAAAAGTCGTCTGGTAGCCTAAATGTCCTTTCTTTCCTTCTGGGGGCCGGCATTAAGCCTAATCCGCCAAGTAATAAGTCGGCCATTTTGTTTTGTTTGGGGAAAGTTTTCCCTCGATTAGTGAGTTAATCCACCTCGCTAGGTGTGTTAAAGTTAACCTTTATTTTAACCCTGGGATAGTACTAATCGCGCTTTCAGGAACAGAAACTAATCGTAGGTTAAATTTTATTCTTGGGTTAGGGCGATTTAATCGTGGGTTAGCGCTAATCGGCTTTCGAACAACCGGGGCCTCCCAGGACTCCTTTCTTACGCACGCAATTTCCATTATTTAAACACCGCGATCGAGCGTTGACCGCATGAATTCGAACATGATCCCCAAACGGTCGGGCTTAAGTTTTCAAATCCAGAATATCTCTCGACTCCCTTTTAGGGCTACTTGAGCACCTTTAGTTTGTCCCAACATTGGGTCCATGAGTTGAGAAATTGGTAGGAAAGACATGGTCGTATTCGAGCGACCGTTGAGCTGATTGAGCCTTGTTTTTGAAGGTCGCGATGTCCCATGCCAGAGACAGTGCTCTTCAATCGTGGGATTGTGATGATTTAAAGAGCGAGGCAAAATACAAATCACATAGAAACCTTGTAAGCTAGGGAATGACAATCCCGCAGTCATAAAGACGTTGAAAAGCACGACAACACGCGACCAATTCTTAAGAAATAGAGAAGGTTTCATGAAGTGAGTGTCGATTACCCAATATGAATTATTTATCTATAGTTTTCAAAGCACACGCAGACGTACGCATTTGTGGACTGACCACAGGAAAGCGAAAATCGATGTGAAAAGCGTTGTTTGACACTGTACAGTTAATTGCCTGATATCCCAACGGACTTCGATTAGCAGCAGCAATTTATTTTCTTGAACGAGAGTTTAAAAATGAAGAAAAGATGGCGACTGGAAATATAGCAAGAAGGCAAATCAACGCTGTTGGAAAACATCGACCGATAGAGTCGACAAAAATTCTAGTATTTCCCTAAACTTTCTTTCCTTTCGTAAGAATTAGAGGAGGAAGAAGTTTTGAATTTACCCACACTTAACTTTACAATACCATGTTTTTGCATTCTCTTGCAGTGAGGTTTTGCAAAATACAAACTGGTCTGGGCTCCTGCTGTATTCTGAAGCGAAAAGAGAAACCGAAATGAACCTTACCTGCACCTTTGGGATATCGTGCTTGTCTTTTGACAGATGTTGTCTTGCAAACTCTTTCATCGCGTCCATCGACCCGAGTTCTTTATGGTAAATACCGAGCATCTCCAAAAATTTAATCATATTTATATACTCGGTGGCTTCTTCGAAGCGTTTCGAGTTAGAAGAAGCCATATCGAGTTGCGTTCACATAAATCCACTGAAAGATTCTCTCGAGGTAACAAGTTTATCCTAAACTTCTCCTTCGCATAAGTCTACAGGAAAACGATTGATCCCGAGAGGGCTTGGCTGAAGAGGGGGGTTAGAGTATTATTTCATCTTCAGCCCCTGAGAGGAAGTAGACACTTTGGAGACACTAATAATCTTCTGATTTGCTCTTTATGCTGGTTTATTTGTATGACGTTTTCCGGTTTCTGATTCTCATGCAAATCACATAATTGTTCGTCCTCCATTTGAATTGTGAACTTTTCATCTTTCAGAGTGAACCACGAAAAGATTCTTAAATGTCTCGGGGCTTATCACCTTAACTGATAGGTGAAAAAATTAACACATGATATGCCCGTCTACGGCAGCAAGCCTACCGCATGCTAGTCAGCAGTATCTTCAAGCAGCTGACAACGTTCTTTGTGGTTCATGACGCCGTTCCTGATGTTATAAGCATATTTTCGAAGATAGGAAATCTTTTCTGCTTTAGATGAAGTGTAAAATGTCAGCATCAGTTGAAATCATATTCTTTTTAGCGTTACTGATAATTTTGGTTTGGGAAAATGAGCCAAAATTGAAAGAAACGACGGTAAACTACTTCGCCGGTCGATTGAAGAATATACACCTGTGAACAGCGAGTCAGTAAAACAATACACCAGAAGCATATGGGCTTCTCTTATATCTTCTCTTGAAGTTGCCAGGTATGACTGCTTACCCGGCTGTTTTTACTAAACGTTTCAACCTCCTCAATTTAGTGTAGAAATTAAAAAGAAAAGTAATTACAGGTTCAAATTCGTGTTTGAACCTGTAATTTTTTTTAACTTTTTCTCTTTTGGCTATTGTTTCGTGATTGTTCTCTAGCTGGAAATACACGGAGTCTTTTAAAGATTTTTTGGTTATTTGATTCGGTAACCTCTGCTGTAACTGCATATAATGTGGGCGTCTTTAAGAAAACTTGAGATACATGAAATACCTGGATTTCATTTTTACATCACAGAAATAAATTCCAAACATCAATCAAGTTTTCTCTTAGTTTAAAAGTTCAGTTGATGTTGTTATTGGTTATATCAGATAGGTTGAAAGTTTTTTAGATGCTGTTTTCTCATGTTTGCAAATAATTGAATTTACTGGAAGGTGGAGTTGTTGCATGATGTTAACATGAAACACAGCAATAAATTTTATTGATATATAAAAAGTTTTCATTTGACTATCTACTAGCAGTTCTATGTATTATATTTCAACCCAACCATTTTCCACAACCTATCAACACCATCACAAAATAATTAGGAAATGGAAAATTTGTTGAATATACCCCGTGTAATAAGCTAACTGGATTGAGGGGGTGTCGGCAATGTGTTGATGAGGTTTGGCTGTCAAGGCAAATGAAACTGAGGATTTTAGTAAGCAGTGCCTTTTTTCAACGCAGGAAGCTATCATCCTGAAGCCATACTTGTGCCTGGTCACTCATTCTTCTTCTGATAAACTAGTTTTAAGAAGGATACAACACTTTATTTCATAAATTTGATGCATAGTCTGTGCACAAAACGTTAATTTGACTATACTTTTATAGCCAATAGCAATCCCTATACATAATAAAATGTTAGGAGGATCAGAGGAAAAACTGATGTGCTATACATCAGCATATTTCATGTAATTATTTCAATTAATGAATATTAACTGATACCAGGAGATCTAAGAATATTTAAAAGAAAATAAAATTTTGTTGAAAAATTAGAATTCAGCATAGGCCAGATGAATAAGATTCTTGGAAAATGAAACGTGTATTATTGAAAAAGCTAGGCAGATACTACACCTGCCTATATCTGTGCAACATATAGTAAAGTCATTCGAAGTAGTCATTATACTGATTTTATATGTTGAAAACACACATACATGCAGATTTCCTATAAAACTGTAGTTCAAGCCTGTGATGACTTCAAAATGTTTATGCACACCTCAAAAGGAGAACAAATAAATCGCAAGTTTCTATTTATTAAGTTTAGGTTAGTTAGGTAAAATCGAGTCAAATATTCATACGAAAACAGGTTCAAGAAATTTTTACAACCAATTTATAAAGTTAGCCTTCCTGGTCAGCGGTCAGGAAGTATGGCGGACGTGTTTGTAAATGTCTTACAATTTTGTCGAATTTTTTGTCGAAGTTTGTGAGTCTCATTACAGTTTTTTCGTTTTAAACGCAAGGAATCATGCCTAATATTACCACGGAAAGGCTTGAAAAGATTTTAGATGAAAAACTAAACCCACTTTCTGAGCAGCTAAAGGAAGCTTTGGCGACGGTGAAAACTTTGAATACGAAAATTGAGCAGATGGAAGACACTTTCGAGACGCTTCAAGAAGAGAATAAGGCACTTAAGCAAGAACAGGTTAGCCTCAAAGCCCAAGTGTTAAGATCTGCAAACGACCTGAAGTTAGTACAAAAGTCCCTTAATGACTTAGAGCAGTACACTAGAAGAGACTGTCTTGAAATCCGTGGTATTCCTCTTCCAGAGGATTCGCGGGTGGAAGATACTAACGACATTGTGCTTCAGTTGAGCCAGAAGATGGGCATTCCGTTGGAAAGAAACGATATATCTGTTAGTCATCGAATTCGGAGTAGTAGGGCTTCAGTGGATCCTGCCATAATAGTAAAGTTTGTCAGACGAGAAATGAGGGAAAGTTTGTATCGGTCGAGGAAAAGGCTGAAATCTATCACCACAACTGACCTTGGCTTCTTTGTTGATAAGAAGATCTTTATCAATTAAAGTTTAACGCCTAAGAACAAGGAACTGTTCAAAGATTGCTTAAAATTCAAGAATGACAAGAGCTACAAGTTCCTGTGGACTAATGCTGGAAAGATCTTCTTGAGGAGGAATGCTGACTCTCCAGTGATACCTATCAACTCTTTTGCTGATATACCACCATCTTAAAAGATAAGTTATATTGAAACTTGCATGTTCTGTGATGGGTGTCCTGATAGAGTTCCTTATCTTGACAGCTCCAATTGTCAAACCAGCTATGCCTCATTACCTTGACTTGATATTGCTTCTCCTATTTCCAACATTGAGCACCTCACTAACTCAGATATTGACGTCCATATGCTCTCTGACTTGAATTTTAATTATTTCACTACACATGATTTTCATGCAAATGAAGATATTATAAATTGTGATTGTTTGTTTTTAGCTCCAGTGACTGCAAATGAAATTGAAGTAGAAATAGCCAAACTTAATGCTAGTAAAGCTGTGGGTCCTTTCAGCATTCCTATTGATATTCTTAAGATTCTTAAGGGTGAGTTATCAGGTCCTTTACAGACTATATTTAATACATCTTTTCTTACTGGAATTGTCCCTGAGAAATTTAAGATGGCAAGAGTAATCCCAATTTTTAAGAAAGGATCTCAGACAAGCTTAAACAATTATAGACCCATTTCTCAACTCTCTGTTTTTAATAAATTGTTAGAAAAGCTTATGTACAAGCGGATAATTGACTTTCTTAACAAGAGACAACTTATTTATGGTCTAAAGTTTGGATTTCGCTCTCACTAAACTGATCATGCAGTTCTCAGTATTATTGACCAAGTGCAATTAGCCATTGAAGACCATGATTATTCTTGTGGAATATTCCTAGACTTTGGCAAAGCTTTTGATACTGTTAATCACCAAATTCTACTCACAAAACTTGACTATTATGGTATCAGAGGTGTTGTTAAGACCTGGTTTATTTCATATTTAAGTAATAGATCTCAGTTTGTTTCTCTTGGTGCTATCACTTCAGACACTCAGACAGTCTCCTGTGGTGTGCCCCAAGGGTCAGTGCTTGGACCACTTTTATTCCTAATCTATGTAAATGATTTTCATAATTGTTCAACGCTTCTGGATTTCCGTCTTTTTGCAGATGATGCAAATTTATTCTTTCAGCATAGGGATATAAAGATGCTTGAAAGTTTGATTAATTCTGAACTTGAGAAAGTTCTTACTTGGCTTTGTGCAAATAAGCTTTCATTGAATATTGATGAGTCAAACTTTGTTATTTTCCATCCAATTCAAAGAAAATTACCCAAACAGGTCATGTTATATATAAAAAATCAGATGTTGACCCAGGAAACTTCCATTAGATACCTTGGAGTTTACATAGATTACAATATTAGTTGGAAGATGCACATGACTAATATTTCTAAAAAAATCAAGAGAAGTATAGGCATTCTTTCTAAACTAAGTTATTTCTTAAGTACTAAAACACTACTTAGCCTGTACTATGCTCTGGTTGAGCCTTTTCTCAACTACTGCATAATTGCTTGGGGTAATACCTATCAAACAACTTTGCAACCTTTGTTTATATTACAGAAGGAAGCCTTAAGAATAATCACCTTCTCTAGTTATAACAAACATTCGAGTCCTTTATTTAAAGATCTAAACGTTGTAAAGTTGTTTGACATCATAACCTTTCAACTTGCAGTATTTATGTACAAGTTCTTTTAGCTCCTGTTTTTGATCCTTACTTTAATTCTGTTAGGATGATACATAATTATAATACCAGATTATCTAGTAAAATGTCCAAATGCTATTCCAAAAGTCAGAACAAATTATGGAATTTTCAATATAAGATTTCAGGGTTCTAAAGTCTGGAATGATATAAGTGATCACATAAAGCTTCTTCCTTTGAAAAGTTTTAAGAAAAACCTTAAGCTAATCCTGATTGAAAAATACTAATAATTTCCGTAGCCTTCCGTCGTTCTTTACTCTGATTTTCACAGCGTTTTTGATCTTGTTTGTACACACCACACCAAAAAATCTTTAAAAGAACACCTCCACAATGGTAGGTACACACAACTGACATGTGTGAGTGAAGCATGTCAAGAATTAAGGTATGATTGTCAATTTGCTTTTTATTACTTGCAAACAGATTAGTTCTAGCAGCTTTGAAAGCTTCTGTATCCCCTCTTTCAAAGAAAAGCATTTCCCATGAAAAACATAAAAGACGTAAGCTACAAGTGACAGGTTTTTTCATTGAAAGTATTTCATAGCATCAGATGCTCATCACAATTTTTTTCTTACATTTGAAAGCATTAGAATATTTTAATCATTACAATATCATGAAATCCCCCATTTTAACCCTTTAAGTGCCACTAGTGACCAAGAGAGAATTTCTCCTTACACTATCTATGCGACATCAAGCAGACAAGTCATGAGAATAAAGAAAAAATATTAACTAGGGGATTATTAGTTGATCCAATTCCAAATTCTCCAAAATAATATCACATAAATTGTATGGCAGACAGTAAGGAGAATTACTAAATAAAGGAAATCTTGGGAGCTTAAGAGGCCCTACGCCTAAGAAACGAACGATGATTTCTGACTAAAAATTAAAATCGGCCGATTTTTATCTTCCAAGTGGAGGTTACCTAATACTATTTAAAAATGAATTTCTTTTGCTTCAGTTTCGCTTTAAACCAAAAATGTCGAGCCGCGAACTTGTTACGTCTGATAGCAGCAAAATCTGTCCTAAAATATCAAAAACCGGTTAAAAAATCACTATTGCAACAAAATAATGAGAAAACTATGCAGTTATGAAGAAGAAGGCCCTTTAATGCAATATCATTCGATAAACATCAAAAAACTGCAGAAGCCAATGAATAAATTTTTAAATATTGCATATCAAATTAGATGGAGCGTTGGAGATGATTTTAAAATAATTATTTCTACAAAATTCCAACGCTATTGAAAGCAATCACAGTAATGAATCAGACATTAGAAGGATATAAATTGTTTCTGGAAAAACATTTTTCGGCCAAAGTATATTGACCTTGTACGAAGCGTTCAAAGTTGCAGTGTTACCGTAATGTTGCTACTTCAGCGAAACAATTCTCTGCTGCCAATACGTCCAAGGATAGCGTGGTTAATGTCACTTTGAACCCTGCTTAAAACCTGCCTATCAATCCAATTGTTTTAAAACTTACGCTGTTGAAGTCCTAAATGTAATAACTGTCCTAAATGTAATAACTGTCCTAAATGTAATAAAGTCCTAAATGTAATAACATTTGGTCCTAAATGTAATAACATTTGGTCCTAAATGTAATAACATTTAGCCCTAAATGTAACTAGACCCTGTGAGCAGGGTAACTGGGATACCTGGATGGTACTGGATCCTTGGAATCAAGTGTAGTGATACTACGGGTGTCGGACTAGTATACTGAAATAGTGCGCTCAAGTCTGGCCAAGGGCATACACCTATTTCAAAACATAGGCATGCTATGCATGCAAGAGTTACTTTTTTGTAGGGTGGGTGGATTACTTGAAACATTGTGAGTGATGTCTACATTCTTACAAAAGGAGAGAAGAATATTATTGTGGGAAAGAACGAAAATGTCGAATTACCTCATTCACAGGTATTTTGTGGTAGATTATGTGTGTTTTGCAAATAAATGTAACCAAAAATAAACTGTATTGGTGCCACGGATACCTGTTAGTACAAAATGCAGACAGCAGACTGCAGACCGGATACAAAATATAGACTGCAGACTGCAGAGTGGGTACAAAATGCAGACTAAGAATCTGAAGAGTTTTTACGTCTGGTATATAATAACATGTCATCTTACAGCTTACCGAGCGTCACGCAATCGCTTTTCTGCAATCCGCCTTCACGATTATTTGCACTATTGTGGAATATTCCTGGCTCATTTCTTGATGAAAATCGATCGCAATGTTATTTCAAGCCTTCAATATAGTCGTGTTACTTTGCGCGCGAGTTGGTTGGTGTGATGTCTGTACAGATTTTATCAACGTAATAAAAGTAGATGATGTGAACAACAATGATGGTAAAGCAAGCTTAAAACGGCAGAAATCGCCAGAAAATACAACGGATACACAGGGTATGAGTAAGTTTTATTGATTTTACGAGAAAAATTTTCATATTTCGAAATATGTATCGTTGTAAATCGACCATACTTCGTTCCCTGTACTATTCCTTATAACGTGCAGTTTCTCTCGTAACTTAACACCGAGTCACACAACGTGTGACGCGTTCATGAATTAATCGTTGGCTTTTTCTCGAGACTTGAGCTTGGGCCGCTTGTGACAAGACAATTGCGTAAACAATATTTAACATAACAACATTATACACGAAAAAACACAGGGTTTTGGATCACGTATTTATTAAAAAAGAATATCCATACAACTACAATGAAAACAAACATAAGATTCACCTTTCTGATCGTGAAATTAATACCATTCGTACTGTTATCGTAGCGACGTTCCTTGCCATCAAGTGAATCCAACATGTCGTCTTTCTTCACAAGACAAGCGACTAAATACAGGAATGGCTCCGACCTGTGATTGGATGATAAAAATAGTAAAAGTTCATAAGTTATATCTTAACTCCTTGCACGTGAGTATTGTTAACCGCGTGTACCGAAGCGGAACAATGAAATATCGATGCGAAAACACCGACGTGTCAAACAAGAAATGGCTACTTACATAGCGAAGATAAGGCAGAGTCTATCTTCTTCAGCTAGGTCGTTCAGCGATATTCCGGCGATGAAAAAGTCATCCGCTGCCAATTTCCGCTGACAAAACTAATTTAGTCTGTCTAGGCGGACGACCAGAGACTGGAGCCATTCTTGTATTTCACCGCTGACAGGAATGGCTCCAACTCATGCGTATATTAATTTTTTGGTTCTGGCTAAATAATTTATATACAGATAAAAAGTGGAAAAGCTATTTATTAGGTTCTTCTTATGTTGAAGTCTACAGTGCTTGCAAATAAA